CAGTAGAGACGGGTGCCACTGGCTTGAGGGGGGGCTTCTCCCTGCTGGCATCCCCCCTGGCTGCTGCGGGGCTGCTCCCCACCCCGTCCCCTCCCAGGATGCTCTTTAGCAGCAGGAGCTGAACACCGAGCCACACACTGCCCCCTCCATTGCTCCTGTCTCTGGCACCCCCTGGCCAGGATGCTGGGCTGGGCAACCCGGTGGCAGAGACCTCAGCGATGGGAGGGGGACGTTTCCCAATAACCCCATGTCCCACCTCCACCCCAGTGACATCTTCTCCTAGCCTCCAGCTTGCCCCCCTGCTCTGCCATCCCACCCTGCGAGGCAGTGGGAGGATGCAGGGGCCGGCCACCCCGCAGCAGAAGACCATGTCTCCATGAAGGCTTGGCCCGAAAGCCCCCAGTGTGGGGTGGGCCTGGCCTGATCCTGCTGGGCACAGAGCAGCTCTTCAGTGCATTCAAGCTGCCTGTGGTCCTGGCACAGAGACTTGCTCCTCTCCCGGCCAGGGGCAGCCGGCCCCTCGTCCCCCACCACAGAAACACCAAATAAAGGCTCTGCAAACACACAGCCCTGCTTCTTGGCCACGGGTGGAGGAAAAGAGTGAGGGGCACAGGGGCCAGCCTGGGGGTACCAGCAGGGAGGGATGGCTCCCAGCTGCAGAAACTCCAGGTTTTTTCAGGGCAACTGCAAACATGGATTTATCGTCACAGCCCAGCTGGGGGGTTAGTACAGAGCACAGGGGGGCAAAAAGGGGTTGGGAGCAGGGACCGTGCCCAAGCAAGGAGCATGCCAGGGCGCTGTGCCCCCTGCTGTCATGCATGTGACAGCCGTGCTTAGAAATAGAGGGTTTTGGTGTTTGTTTTTTTTTTTTTTCCCCCCTCCATTTGCTCTGTGCGATTTGAAAGACTGGCCCCAAGGCTATTGCTGCAGGGAAAGGCAGAGGGAGGAGCAAAGGGGGAGGTGCAGGGGGGGCAGCACTTGGGGCAATAGATTCTGGGGTGCCCACGCAAGGGTCTGGCTCTGTGGCTACACCCGAGTGCGTGGGCACCAGCAGCCCTGGCATCCCTCCCAGTTGCCACAGAGAGGCTGCCCCAGGGTAAGCAGCTTTTAGGATAAAACCAGAGACGCTCAGCTACACTTCAGTCCTTAAATAAATACAGAGACACCAACCACCATCAGCCCGAGCTGCGGCTGGGTCCTGCGACCACGGGATCTCCCACTGCCAGGAGAGTCCCTGCCATCACCTGCTCCTCCAGGGGCTGAACCGAAAGCCCTGGACCAGGGCAGCTCCTGGTGCGCTCCTGGGAAACGCCAGCTCCTCTTCCCTGAAGACCTGGCTCAGGTCTACAGTGATGCCGAGTCTGATGCCTCGTGGGGAACAGGATAGCCACAGGGGACTGACCCTGCATCGGCCACCACCACGATGGCACCTCCAGTCCCTCCTTCACACTTTCCTCGCGGGGATGCACTGCCGAGCCGCTCCAGGCCAGGGGTGCGGCCACGTCCACCACATGTCCGTGCACGGGGATCGGCAGCCGGAGGAAGCTCCTAGATATATACACACAGGCACACACACACACCCTACTCCTCTTCTGCTGCCGTCACAGCGCAGCTGGTCCTTGGTGTTAGGGCAATCTGGGACCTGCCTGTTCTGAGACACAAGAGAGGGATGGTATGGGGTAAGCGTGGCTCTTCGTGCCCAGACGAGCTCCGTGGGAGGGGTGCCAGCCACGGGATGGCAGTTATCCCTGAGCACCGATTGCTATAACCCCGTGGGCTGCTGGGGCTCAGGCTCATGCCTGTCTTCAGATGCTGCGGGGACAGTTGGGGGGGATGCAGCAGGGACCAACCCCACGGTAGAATCATCCCCTCAGCTGATCAGAGGTGGGGGCTGAAGGAAAACTGAAGCTGTCCCCCCATCCCTCCCCCAAGTGTTCAGCCAACCGCCCAGGGTCTCAGGGTAAAGGACAGGGGCACTCCCCCTCACTGAGGGTCTGAGCCTTACCCAAGTCCTTGGGGACCGGTTTCACCCCAGCCACTGCCTGGGTGTTCTGGCTGCGAGCCATGGCGCAGGGTGGGCGCCAGGGGTACTCGGGCTGCAGGAGGAGATGGAACAGAAACGGCAAATTACCAGGGATGTGAATCATGAGGCTCTGCTCCGTGTTCAATTGCCAGGGCGAGAGGAGGAGGAGAGGGCTGAGCATTCACATGCCAACAGGACATGTATGCTCAGCTCCCTGCACCCTGGAGAAGCTGCCTGGCTTGGCAGCAAGCCCCAGACCCCCTCACATGGGACCCTCTGCTTCCCCTTGGGCTGGCACAGGTAGACACTTACCGGGGGAAAATGGTGGAAATTTTGTCCTGGCGTGTGCTCGCCCGGCATTGCTGGTGGGTATCGGATCTGCTGCCACTCGTCGAAGCCATGGTACATGGGGTGAGCCATGGGGGGACTGTACTGGTACTGGTACATGGGGCAGGCAGGGCCCAGCGGCCCCGGCTGTGCAGCCTCTCTCCAGAAGCCTGCGAGGAGCCAGGGGAGATGCTGGGAAGATCTCCAAGGGCAGCCCACCACCACCACCACCACCACCCATCGCCCAGCTTGGAGCTGCCCCTCCAATGGGAGTCGAGGGGCTCAGGCCAGGTCTGCAGCCTTCAGCCCCTCCGCCCAAGAAAAGCTTTTCCCCCATCCCCACCTGTTTGTGCTGTTTCAGCAGCTTCTTCAGCTTCTCCTTCTCCTCTTTCTCCCTCTGGCAGTCGTCCTTGGAAGCTCGCAGCTGGGAGCAAGGGGGGTTAGTACAGAGCCCACCCTGCCACCACCCGTGACCGTGGGTGAGGGTTGCTGCAATGCCCTGCGGGAATGCCAGCACTGGTCCCCCATGTCAGATGCCCAGGAGAGGGGCAGAAGGAAGAGACAAGTAAAAGGAGATGCTCTAGCAGGGACAAGCCAAGGGCACAAACACCTCTCTGGCCTTTCTGTCCCCCCTCAGTCCCTGCTCCAAGATGGGTACGGGGGCTGTGACACCGGGGACAAGCACCTTTGACACACGTGGGGCAGACATGGGTCTCCTAGAGCGCTGCTGGTAGCACCCAGCGCTGCTCACCTGGTTATTGGAGAGGACCAACTGCTTCTGCAGCTTTTCCAGCTGCTGCTTCAGCTCTTCCTTCTCCTCGTTCATCCTCTCTCTGTCACTCCGCTCTCGCTGGAAGTCCTCCTCAAAAATTTTCACCTGGTGGGAGGGAGGGATGTGGATGCACCTGGCTGAGGACAGACACCTCCCCCAAGCACCCACTGTCACTGTGATGCCACCAGCTATGCCAAGCCCCAGGCACACGGGTTGACACGATGGCCCATGGCTGTGGTCCTCCCAGCTGAAGGCCTGGAGGGTGCTGAGCTTGCTCCCCTACTCCCCACCACCACAGCAGTGACACCTGCCAGGGCTGCTGGGCTGCTCCTGGCCACATGGGGCTCTCTGCCTGGAGAGCTTCAGGACATGTGTCTTCCTCCCTGTCTCTAACAGCTCTGTGTTCTGCCCTACCTGCTGCTTGAGTAGCTCATTCTGGGTCAGCAGCTCCTGCTGTGGCACCTTCCCCGCCGTCTCCATGGTGCTAGCGAAGATGGGTGGTGGAGAGGCCTGGACATTCAGGGCCTCCTCTAAAGCCTAGAGAGGAAGAGGAGGAGCAGGGAGGGGGGGGGTTAGAGCAAAGTGTTGTGCCTGTGATGTCTCTGGAAGACCATGGGCACGTGACCAGCATGGGAAGCAGGTATAACCAGGAAAGAACAAGAGGGACTACAGACCCACCTCCAAACCCCCTTTCCTGGGAGCCTAGAGGGACGTGGTGGGCATCGTCTGACAGGAGCTCCTGCCTGCGCAAGGAGCTGGGCAAGGAGGGGGTTTTGGATTTGAGAGAGGAGAAGAGGTGGGAGAACATAACAGACATTTTGCAGGGAGGGGTTGTGCCCTGGTCCCCACCTTGTTCAACCTCTGGATCTCCTTTTCCTGGTATTCCCGCTGCCTGGTGACTGGAGCCAGCTGCTCCTGCAGGAACCGCATCCTCTGCTGTAGGTCCCTCACCTCCATGGCCAGCCTCTCCTTCTCTGCCTGCAGGACCCGGGGTGGGGAGATCAGCCAGGGCAGGGTGACAGGGCCAGCAGCTCCCCACCACCATTCCCGAGGGACTCACCTCCTCTGTTTCAATCCGGGACTTGGCCAGGAGCAGCTTGCGGTCGAAATCCCGTTGCTTTTGCTCCCGCTCTGCCTCCAGCTCAGTCAGTGCCCTGCGGGCCTCGGCCAGCTCCTGGTGCAGGTCCGTGACCTGCCAGGAGGGAGCAGGGATGTCAGCCTGCCTGGAAGGACCCACACTGCGGGGGAAAGAGGCGAGGCAGCCCCAAAACCTTCCCCTGCACCTGGGCTCCTCAGAGTCCCCCCAGCCAGCACCCAGCCCTACCTTCTGCTCGTACTTCTGCTTCATGGCTCGGAAATGCTGATCCCATTGCTTATTCACCTCCAGTAGCTGCGGGAAGAGAAAGATGGCTGAACAGGAACCCAAACTATGCCTCAAGACAGCCATGGCAGTCCCCAGCAGCCTCCCATCACGAAAGCACCTTGGGGATCACCTGGATGGAGATCCTGGCTCCAGCAGTGCTTCCCCGCAGCTCCACAGCCCTGCCCCAGTCTTCCAGTGCCATCCCAGCCACATGCCCCTGCTTCCCGCTCCCCCACTCCTTGGCAGTGCCTCCCTCCCAGCCTGGTCCTCACCTCCCTGCGCTGGTGCTCCAGGATCTTCACCTTCTTCTCCTTGGCCTCCAGCTCTCCTCTGCCCGGCGCCTTCTCCACCGTGGCTCCGCTCTGCTGGATGCGCACGGGGGGAGGGGGGGGACCCTCAGGGCTTTTGTGGAGGCTGTGCAGGAGGCCGGCTAAACTCCAGCCGGTTCCCCTCCCATGGCCTCCCCCATCCCCTCAAGACCCTGAGAAGTCCTGCTGGTCATACTGGGACAAACTCGAGGCTCAAATAAAATGAGGCCACCTTTGCTGATGTGTCAGAGGGATCCTCGCCTCCTTCCCAGCCCTTTCCGAGGGCGATGCTGCCTCCTCACCTGCTGCTGCTCAGCAGCTTCCCTCTTCCCACTGTCCTGGCTGCTCAGCGTCACCATCCTCCGGAGCTCCTGGTTCTCACACCTGCAGGCAAGGAGGGATGGGTCAGTGGGAAGAAGAAGCACCCAGGTCAGCGGGAAGAAGCACCCAGGTCAGCCCCATGCCCCTCCCCACCGCCCACCCTCACCTGAGCTTCTCCAGTGCCTGGTTTCTCTGCTCCAGGTCCCGTTCCAGCTTGGTTCGCAGCTCCTTGTTCTCACTGTGCAGCGTCTCACACAGCGTCTGGGGTGTGAATGCCGGCAGCATGAGGACCACAGCCACCCCCAGGAGCCTGCTTGGCCACCCACCTCCCACCAAATCCTGGCATGGTGGTGGGTGTCCACCTTGGGGTAGACACAAGGGGCTTGGTGGAGGGGAAAAAAAAAAAAAAAAAAAGGGGGAACCCCCCCATGAAGAGTCCAGCCAGCCCTCGCTCACCTGCAGGAACGATGTTCTCTGCTCATTCTTGTGCACCTTGGAGGCCAGGCGCTTGAGCTCAGAGGCCATGTAGCCCATGCGCACGAAGACCTGGTCCTTGCTGGCCTCCTTGGCGCAGCCGCTCAGCGTGCTCTCCAGCTGCTGCAGCTGGGGCAGCAGGTTGGCATCCTCATTCGGCGGCTGCTCCAAGTCCTGGGGATGGGGAAGGGGATGAAGCACGGTCAGATCAGTTCAAGGAGCATTGCAAAGTTCCCTCTTGGGGCTCGTCTCCCATCCAGGGCTGTGGTGGGGAGCTGGGCCAGCAACAGCCCTTGGTACGCTGAAAAATTGCGTCAGCTTTGTAAAGATTCGATTCCCCACCGCTGGCCACGGGACACCAAGTCCCTGGGTGGAGAGGGACATTACAGCAGCAGCTCTCCCAGTCCATGGATTCCCTGTGCCCCTCATCAGGCTGAGTAAACCACGCTCCCGGCTTGCTGACAGCAACAGAGGCTTCCTTCTCCCCCCAAGATCTCCCTTTCAGCACCAAGACTAGAAATCCCAGCTCCTGAAGACATATGCCCTGGTCTTCACTGGGAGCTGAGGTTTGCCACATGAAGGGTGGTCTTACTCCAGTCCCCATCTTCTCCTTCCTCCTGTCCTCCCTCTGTGGCTCCCTTGCCTGTGAATCCCCTGCCACCACAGCCCCAGCTCTTCGGCAGATGGCAGCCAAGAGGGTGATGCACCGGATTTAAATGGTGGCCAGGAAAGCCTGGGTCAGGGCACACCCACCAGCATCACGGCTTCCCCCCACCTGCGTCAGGGCTTGCCCCCACCCACTCATGAGGGGTGTCCCCAACAGGCCTGTCCTCTCCTGCTGTGGCTGGTTAAGTCCTCCATTG